GCCACACAGTTGCATTGAAAGACTCGTTCGCGTTCTGAGTAAACCCGCCGAGGCACCTTTGCAGCAAGTCATCTCGGGACAACTCTGTGTAAACCGGTTTGAGAGCGACAAAAATTTCCTTCTTCATAGTAGGATTGTGATTGTAGTCCTCCAGCTCACCGGTCGGTTTCGCCTTCTGTCAGGAACACCAGGAATCCCGGCGTACTGGACATTTGCTGTGCTACGGTTTGTCGTTAGTCGATATCTTATGATTTAAAGTTGCCCAGATTTCTCGTTTCATGTCTTCGAGTGATGAAGAATGCCTCCGAATAGCTAATCCATAGTACATCGTCAGCTCGTCAATGAGTTTTCCCGTCAACTTCCCCTTTCCGCCGAGCCCTTTCGTGTTTTTAACGAGTGACCGAAGATGTTTCCCCATACGCTTTTGCACGTGGTCGATACACTCTTTCTTTTGCACGATCAAATCTTCGTATGGCTGGCTGTCAATAATACCTTTAAAGGTCTTGCTGTCGCCGTCCCGATGTGCGGTATAAGAGGTGAGGAGAAAGGAAACTAGTGGACTCTTTCATTCTGGCGGTGTTCTTATGCAACAGCAGACGTGACGTCACGTCTGTTGCTGCATAAGAAGACGCGAGAACAAAAGAGTCCACTAGTTTCCTTTCTCCTCACCTCTTATACCGCACATCGTCGCCGTCCCCGATGTATTTGCTGTATTTCGTTCCGTGTAGACTTTCGGACCGCTAGAACATCTCGATTACAGCATCCACCTCCATTTTTCCCGATGACCCTTGGTGATTTCGTTCGCACTTGTCATGATGAGTTTCCTTCCATTCCTCGTACTCTGCGGTCCCCTCCTTCTTCTCCCAGATTTCGCAGGATTTGCAAATTTTGGATTTTACCTCCAGGTCGATGATTTTCCCCGTGTGCCAGCCGATGAGAGACGTCGCGCCCAGCAAAGAAGAAAAGCCCCTTGTCTTCCACGTGCCGTCTCCGGAAACCGTCAGACCGCTCGTCTCGCCGTTCTTCTCCGATAACTCCTTCTCCTTAGTAGCTGCATTCTTCATAGACATTTGACATCCGGAAGATGTGGCGATGGAAATCGTTTTTATGAGTTTCGTGTAGAATGATTTGAAAACTGGACTCGGCAAACACATGAAGGCGCAAAACTTTGATATGCCATTCAATCCGACACCAAGAATCCGCATAGCCAGTACTATACGTCGATTAATTTCGAATCCGTGGCCGATTAGCGGGCACGAATTTATATATGTATCGTGGTTCACACTTGGAGCAACAAACAGCGAGTTTGAACCCCAACCCACGAACACTGGTTTCCTGGAATTTTAAATCCGAACCGCACTGCCTACAGACAACCAACTCCGATAGTGCAGAAAACACCGACAGTAAATTCGATGAGCCGGTAGCCAAAAGCCTGGTTCACGTTCACGTGGTACTGTCCTTTCGACATCCGAAGTTTTTTCGCTGACACCGAAACATCCTCGCTGTCACCTTCGATCTGAAACCTATTCCGCAGTTTCCGTTTCCCCTTATCTCATATCCGGTAACTGCTGTTTTTATCGCCTTTTTTCGTTGCGTACACTTTTTTGTTCGGACTCATGATTCACGTGTTTCGTACAGTGACGCACCGTAAACTAAACGCCATGCGATGAGATAGGTATACGTGAAAATCGATTGTGCGACAGTGGCGCCATCTACAATGTACGAAGACCCGATTTGGGCATCACCGGACCGCTGGCTACGTCGGTAACGGCGGTAAAACAGAAAAATTCCGAGCGCGCTCAAATGCTCTCTCAGCGCGCCGGTACATGTTTTAGGAAATCGCTTCGCAAAGCGGTAAGGAATATTCTGGCGGACTTGGAGTCTTTTTTAAATTAAAGTATATATCCCAAGGAACATTTTAAGCCATTTTTTTTGAAAAATCAAAGTGTACTCCCCCCTTAAACAACATGCACATAAATTGCAGTCTGAGAGCCCAATGCTATAGAAGTGCGAGTCTAACGAGCAGTGATTGGACATAAGCCTTGATATAACGCGTATAAAGTCGCGGCTCATGTCCAACCCTTTGAACCATGGTTTGTTCGACACCTGTGGGAGAATAGAATTTAACCATCTTCCCAAATCACCATCATTCCATTTTTGTTGATAACTGATGAGGACTTGCTGACGAGCAATTAACACCTTCCATAGCGCCCACCTTAGCCAACGAGTCAGCTTTCTCATTACCCGGAATTGAGCAATGAGATGGGACCCAAGCTAAGGTGATAGGAGTAGTTAGATGAAGCACTCAGTTTAGATCGTATTTCAGGCAGGAAATACGAGGAGTGCTTTATCGGCCTCATTGAACGAAAAGCCTACAATGAGCTAAGACTATCCGTAAAAATGAAATAATGGTCAGAAGGTAGTGAGGCAATTCGCTCTACTGCGTAAAATATAGCTGCGAGCTTCGCCACGTATAACGGAGCATGCTTTCTGCAGTTTATAGGAGGCGCTATGAAACTGATTAAATACACCAGATCCAGTGGTGGTACTTGACTGCAAAAATTGAGGGAACAACCATCGACCGATGGTGATTTGGTATTCCATGGATTTCTTGCATCATGGTCAGATCAAAATTTATAGACTTGTACTTAATAGGAAACTTATTCCACTATACCTCCGGAGTTGACCAATGTGAAATCCTAAGTTGACCTAGTGTAAACTTATAAGGTCTTTGAAGTTGACTCATAAGACCATCGAAATTGAAACGTAAGATTTCCATGAAGCGTCTGCATTAAATTAGTAAGATTAAATCCGGTAAGATCAAAGAATTAACGGAGTATTTTTGTCTCTGAAAATGCCTAAAGTTTAGAGAACTTTCGCAGATTCGGGTGTTTTTAATGTTCTTAGTTCTGAGAGTTCAGGAACTTTCCAGACTTGTTGGTGATGATGAAGTTTTTATAATATGGAAATTTCTCTGAGCTTCGTAATTTCCCAAAGTTGTTGGATTCTTTACGTATCTGGAACTTTTAAAATTTCTGGAAGTTTTTACAGTCCTTCAAATTAAAAAAGCCTCTTCTGAAATCTGTACCTTTAACTAATTTCTCTCGAGCTGTCAATTTTTACATTTTGACCATCTAATCCATCCTCTTAAACACCCAACAAATACGCGACGAAATAGGAACACAGACTTCCACTCTTGTAAAAGCCGAAATATAACATGGAAGGGAGATCCCTCTCTAGTACAGTAATGCTACCAGCCCAAGCAGGAACGAATATCTCAGTATCTTAAATTGGTATGGATGAACCTGACATAAGAGGTAAAATACCATAAAAATACTACCAAAAAAAATTTTCCACAATACCATTCCCATACCAAATTTTGCAAATGCAATACTAGTAGAATACCTGGGTGGTATTTGGTATCCAAATGTCATTTTTTGTTATTTTCAAAGTATTTTGCATGCAATTTTTTGGTATTCTACCTCTAATGTCATGCTGATCAACACTAAATGTTGTTATCAGGTCAGAACTAGGTATTTATTAGCTATTTTCTCCTGCTCGGGAGATGCTCATTCACATTCAACGAGCTACACCGGATATTTAAATGAGCGAATACCGCAGAAATAGATGGTATTTCCAACGGTGAATTTCTCACATTTCCCTCATGGTCTCTTCAACGGGGTGGCACACGGCGTTGCAATGCAACTCAGTTAGCCAATTAGGAGCTCGCATCTGCCATAACCAGCCCTCTCAAATCAGAACCAGATTTGCAATTTCATCGTGCAGTCAATCCAATCAAATCACTTGTAACAAAACAGAGTCCCGTTAGTTACACCGCATTTCAACTCGACTAATTGAGGATAATCAACTGCCGAGGAGCAAACAGCGTGCAGCTATTGAAAATTGATTGCTCGGTTCGATATCGGCGAATCAATACAAATACAAACATCATTTCACATCAGAAACAGCAAGCAGCGGTAGAATCGCACTTGGTAGTCCGTTACAGTCTGGTCCCGGTGTTTCATCAGAAATGGGCGCTTCATGAGCACTCCAATGTTTGTATTACACCAATCGAACAATTCAAAATAAACTAACATCCCACGGTAAGCGTACCAAAATGTAAATCATGCAAATTGAAAGATGAGCTTGAGTTTTTGAGCTTGTAATCCTGCAAACGGTAAAGGATACTCTGGTGGTTTGAAGATACTAACTTCAGCCGATTTGATCCAACACAGGTTTGTTAAAGGGACTCCTCGTTCGATAGCAGCATGTTTGATGTTGTAACATTTATCCAAGGGAGCTTTTGATGGTGGCGGCTGCTGTCCATTATACATGCCAGATAATAATGGAAGCTCGCAATGAACGTGAATAAAGTCAAGTGCGGGGCGGCGGCGGTGGTCTTGCCTGGATGCTACAAACTGGCACAGACACTGATGTCGGCTGGCCTTGTTCGCGTCTACAATGGGGGCTTGTTTAGAAGGAAAGATAACGTGGCGAGATGGGTCCCTTCGATTGGTGACTTTAAAGTACAGGTTAAGGATGGTATTCAGTGGCTGCCCAAGTGACCTTTGTCTTGTTGGTCACGAGGATACAAGGGAGAAAGATTTTATAGTATCAAATAAATTGTCAAATTGCCTCAGATAGTCTAGTGGGTTATGGCACGGTGTGTTTTAGCAAACAAGAAGCGATTTTATAAAGAAATCATGCACATGCATTGGATGGCTTAGAAAGCCTGTCTAAGAGTATCAAAGCCAGGTAGATATAAATTGGGGTTGGATGTTACATAAGCCCATACTTCCCATAGTTCCCTCATTATTTTAGAAATTTGCTGAAATTACTTTTATATAAAATAAACTAAATTGAATACCTCCCTTATATTGGTGTTTGCCCAAAATTTGATACTACGATAAATTGTATATCCTTCCACGTGTAGAAAACACCAGCGACCTACCATAAATAATGTTATTCATAGGCTACATATTCTTATTTTTCCCACACAGCGAATTACTCGATGCTGCTGGTAAGCTTCCACCTTCAACGTCACATGGGCAATTTCCTGATCCAGGTGTACGGGCCGTGTGTGCTGCTGGTCGTTCTTTCGTGGGTTTCTTTCTGGCTAAACCGCGAAGCCACGGCAGATCGGTAATTTTGCAACCACTCTGCGCATACCTCATCCCACAGTTAAACCAAAAATTCCATCCATTCATTTCAGCGTATCCCTCGGCATCACCACCGTGCTCACGATGACCTTCCTCGGTCTGGAAGCCCGCACGGATCTACCGAAAGTTCCTTACCCAACGGCGCTGGACTTTTTCGTGTTCCTTTCGTTTGCATTCATTTTCGCGACCATCATCCAATTCGCAGTGGTCCACTACTTCACCAAGTACGGCTCCGGCGAGTGCTACTTCAATGCAGACGAACTGACATCCAGCTCTGATGAGGACAGCGATCAAGAATGCGGTGTCAACGGCGGAGACAGCTCCCATCTTCATTCGATCAAAATCTCATCCAAATGCTCAACCGTAACCTCCATCAGCGGAGCCGGTGGAACCGATTCCAAAGTGATAGAAGTAATCCCGCTATCGATGTGCTCAATTCCGATGACACCGGTCCGAAAGTCCTCGAAAACCTCCTGGGCCGACCTTTCCTGTTTTGGCAGCAAGAATGAGGACGTTCCTCCTAGCTTCGAAAGTTCTTCATTCTCAACACCGGTGCCGTCGACCAAGCGAAGTTCGCTTCAGCTGCCTCTAGGTGGTTCCATCCAAACTCAGCGACGTCGGAAGCGAAAGAAAAGGACACCCCGCTTCAATTCGGTGTCCAAGATAGACCGGGCATCAAGGATTTTCTTCCCACTGCTGTTCCTGGCCATCAACGTGTTCTACTGGGTTCTGTATTTGTCGCGAAGCGCACGATTGCCACAGCAACATAAAAATTAAACTCCGAAGTAGTAATAACGAAACATGTGTTCATGGCGTCCCTAGGAAAGCTGAAGAACGAAGGAAAAAGGAGATTTTTTGGACAGATTCCCACGAAAAGAGCGATTTAGAAAAAAATTAAGGAAAATCACACTGATAAGAAAACTTCACTGTTTAAATAAATGTTATTGATGTAGGGCAAATATAAAAGTAGCAAATATAGTAGCAAAATTAACAAAAACTGCTTAACTGAAAATGTTGCGGTAGATGAAAGGAAGAAGAAACATGTAGTAGTTTTCAGTGGGACCACATACGCTTATTAAGACATTAGTATGTAACAGTGGATGGATTGGAGCGGTTTACTGGAGATGGGAACAACAAACAAGATAGTTTAATATGAACGAACGGACTAAGAAGGTATACTGCAACAAATTTGGACACCCACTGTAATTTTATAGAAGGTATGAAATACAAAACAACCGACTAAAGTTGATAAGGGGCTATTAATTAACTACGTAGACAGTTTTTTGGGATTATTGACCCCCTCCTCCACCTGCGTAGACAATTTTCCATACATTTTTTGTTTTAATTTGTATGGGTAATTGCTAACCCCCCCCCCCCCCCCCCTAAACTGTCTACTTAGTTTATGAACAGCCCTTAAGCAAAATGGAAGATTTGGAATTATTCTTTTTTATGATAGAAATCCCTTTAAATAATTCATAGTCAAACTCTTTAACTATTGAAGAGATAAATATTTGATTCCGGAACCATTAAAGTCTTGCAACTCAAATAAAGGTTTATTATGAAAATTTTACGGTCCCGGCACAAAGTGGTAAGCTTCCGTAACAAACTAACCGGAATCCAGTTATTTCAGAAATCGGGGTTCGTGAGCTCCATAATTCAAAACAACCAATACAAATGACAAAGCATACTTTATATATCTATCCAACTCACTTTTGGACGTTTAAGGCTTTTTAGATTTGATTTTAAAATAAAAATACGAACAGTAAGCGAAAGTACTTGATGAAAACCCTACTTTTTAGTAAGAAACTTCGATGACTTCTTAGAAACGATTGGAGAAATTGTACTTTACAATTATCAAACGATTTCCCGGATCTATTCCCTTAACAAGAAAATTTTCTCGTTGGAATTCCTGACTTTTTTTTCGGTTTTCCCGTTTCAAACAAAAAAAAATCCCGGTTATAGAATTTTTGTAGAATTATGGTATCTATTGTTTAGAGAAATAAGTGGAAGTTCTTCAAATTAAATATGCACAACATAATTCTCACAAGTTCGATCAATTACCTTCCTTAAAATTCTCCTTCATTTTTTTGACGTAGGACTACGTCTGGGATTTCTATATGGGGGTACACTTTGTGAAAACCGAAAATGGAACATGTAACAAAATTATGACAGATTTTGAACGTTAATAACTTAGCTGCCACGGGACTAATTTTAATAATTTTATCACCAATCGATCAGAAATATTTCTACGCATCTGTTAAACCTAAGGCTTTACCATTTTTCAAAATGACTCTATTGAAAATTGCACGAATGTGCAACTGTTGCTATGATAGTTAAAATTATCACCGATTGCCTGCAAAAATTGCACTTTGACTATATGTTTTAGTATTACTTCTACGTGAAGTCAACGATTTACATAGTTGAAGATGCTAATTTCAAATAACAGACTGTAGTGGTAATTTTTATACGATAGATGGAGTAGATGAAAGCATAGAGTTGATAGTTCCGTTAGAGTACGGCAGTGTGAAGATTGCATATAGATATTAGAAAAGCGAGCTAGGACAACTTTGGAGAGGGATGGTGAGGGGTGTCCCCCATGCTTGGCATACACAGTTTTGGTCACGAACTGCTCATTTGCTTATAACTTTGCACACAGTTGACGGAACATAGTTCTTTTTGAAGCAGTAGATAGAATAGAGTGTAAGCTTGTTATAGATATGTACAAAAAAGTAGATTTTAATGCTAGTAGTAAAAGGTATTTGTTTTTGCGTTGTAAAAATGAGGTGAGAATTGCTCACTACACATCTCGGAATTTAAGTGTTAAATTGATTAGTGTTGATTCAAATGTTAAGCTTTACCTAATCTTCGCATATCTATAGTAAGCTATGAGCCTAATCTATCAATTACTTTAAAGAAAAACAAATTTTAACATCTGAGTGAAAAGTTATTACCAAATGAGCAGTTGGTGTGTACAACTGTGCATGCCAAGCATGGTGTCCCCCCCCCCCCTCACCACCAATCATTTTCAATGGAATTCACCTTAAATTTCCCATAAATTATTCCTCTGAATCACTCTCAAGATTTCAAAACCTCGCGTTGTTGGAATTTTGCCTAGAACTTTTTATGAATTCACCTCAGATTTAATACGTCCGTAAGAATACGGACGAAATTATTTCGCAATTATCATAAGAACTTAAAAATTCCTGATTGATCCTGAATCCTGAAAATTTCATCAAGGCACAACCCAATCTTGATCTTTGTCGTCAGATCTGTAAACTTGAAAATCTGGAATCTTAATCTCTTGAATAGGGTAGAGGACTACTTCAGCATAAGCGCCCATTTCCGTCAAATCGAACGGAAACATCAAATATAGCAATAATTCCGACGTGAACGAATGAATCATACGTTCGGTACAGTACAACAATACGTGAAACAATAATAATATCAATGATTTCACCGTGCACAAATCAATAATACGTTTGATTCTATGTGTTAGCTCATAAGCTACAAATCAAAGCCTATACGTGCGAAGTTCTATGTAGAACGAAGGAAACCCAATGGCACGTCATGGCTAGGGATGTAGTACTGATCGTACAGGTGCCGGTTTCACCAGTAATACCGGGTGAATTTCTGGTACCGAATTACCGATACTGGCATGTTTTTTTTTTGGCGTAGGACTACTTCTTTGATTTCTATATGGGGGTACACTTTGTGAAAACATAAAATAGAACATGTAACAAATTAAGAAAGATTTTGAACGTTAATAACTCAGCTGTCCCTGGTCCAATTTCAATAATTTTATCACCAATCGATCAGAAATATGGCTACGCATCAATAACAATGCTTCCGAATGTTGATTTTCAACAAGAAACTATTGAAAAACTGGTAATCATCCAGCATTGTCCAAAAGCGTCGAATTAACTAACAAATCCACCAATTACCTACATGCATATGCTGCTTCCCCAGCACAGTCGTCAGAGAACAGTAAGTAGACGAAACAAGTCGAAGTGGCATTCGCCTCCGATCCTCGGGCGCGTGCAAATAGGGAGGATGGAATTGCGTAATATTTTGCACACTCATCGCCATATTCAGAACCAAACGCAAATTCTTCGAGATAACCACCATCCGTCGTCTGGCTGGCCGTGGCGGTGTCTGACAAATCTCCGGTCTGATTTAGGAGGTGTGCTGAAGGTGTTCCTGAAAAATGAGATCCGTGATGCTGTCACCTACACTAAACACGCCAAGCGTAAGTGGCCATGGATGTCCTCTTCAATAAAACGGCCCTTTTCAGGGCCATCAAGCTTACAGCTTAATCAGTAAATCAGTATTCAGAACCACAAGCCCCCAACGACCACACAAAATGCTCTCCAGAGCTGTAATCTTGTAACCAAACTTGCAAGCAGGGGTGCAAGTGATTTTGATTGATTCTCTTAATTAACTTTCTCTTTGAAAAAGATTACTACAAATTTGGTACGCCTACAATTCAAAAACGGAAAGAGTTGAGATAATAGATAATTGATCAATTAAAAGAACTTAAACGCTTCTTCTTCTTATTCGCATTTCAAGCTTATTGCTAGTGATTGCACAATGATACTCTATGCCCAGGGAAGTCGAGAAAATTTCCAACCCGAAAGATTCCCTCGACCGGACCGGGAATCGAACCTGCCGCCTCCGGCTTGGTAATACCGTGCGTTTACTGACTAGGCTATGAGGCCCCTATGAACTTAAATGCTCTTTACATTTATTCCGTCCACTAGCGGTCCTACGTGAAGCTTCCGTTCGTGCCCCTAGACTAGACACAGACCCTTCTACTTTTTCCTTTGGTTTATTTTTTCCATCGATCTTGTTTTCCGTGCTGAGCACCAACGCTACCGACGTGCCAGGAAGGCAGCTCCCTCCTGGACCCTACCTATCGACCCATCAACTCATGAACCGGGGACCAACGGCTTTACTTCCCATCCGAAGAAAGGCGTGATCAGAGATGTTATGCCTCAGAACATCCCGGCGGCGCCGACTGGGATTGTACCCAGGCCTGCTGGGGTGAGAGGTAATCACGCTTACCACTACACCACCGGCGCCGTTAATACTGGCATGTGAAAATACCAGTATTTTTGATAATGGTCATTTGAAAAATGCTAAAACTAATTTCTAATGATTTAAAATAGAGTTTATAGTATTTTTAGCAGCACTGTCAACGAGTATTTATTTTGAAATAGGGGAAATGTATGTAATGTCGGCCTAAGTGGCCCTAATTTGGGCCCATACATAAATTCAGCAATCGACTAAATTTTGAATAGCAACCAAAAATATCCATTAGTACCGTCTCAATGACGCGTTTTACTAGATAAAATTGATAAATAGCAGATTTTTAGCGATTGGCCCAATCTTAGATACATATGCCATCATAAGAGCCATTTCCCATATATTTTATATTTGTACTCAGGTCTGTCATGGTGGTTCTTTTTGGTTACTCTATGAGTAACCAGCACCGTAAATCGATTTGATTTATAGGTATTTAAAATCAGAACTAGCTGGGCACAAAAAAGTCGATCTATGATGTAAACTTCAAGTAAGTTCCGAGGACTACATGAAAATCGTGTACTAAGGGAAGTTTAAAGATCTTTAAGGTTAAGTTTTGAGAAGTTTACGGCAGTTCCATGAACACAAAATGCGAGCTTGATGAAGATCAGAGAGCTTCATGACAGTTTCATCAAGTTCATGAACTTTACAATAACTTCAAGAAATCTTCTGAATCATCTTGGTAAAACCCACATAAATAGACCTATCGGTTTTTTGTAGAGTTCAACTTTTTCATGATAAGATAGAAACAAAGTTTACAAGACGA